CATAGGCTGTAGTCAAGGCACCCCTTGACCTTCTCTTTGTTAATCTAATAGATCTCTTTGACTCTATCACTAGAGGTAAGCTAAATAGGTAGATTTGAAGAACTCTGTCACTATAAAGGCATGATCTCTAATCCTTTAATCATTCTCATGCCTCTTCTCTGAACCCTCTCCCATTTATCAACATCCTTCTTGAGTTGTGGACACCAGAACTGGACACAGAATTCCAGCAGTAGTCGCATCAGTGCCAAGTACAGAAGTAAAATAATCTTTCTGTTCCGAGCTGAGATTCCCCGAGTTATGCATCCCCGGATCGCATTAGCTCTTCTGGCCACAGCATCGCACTGGGAGCTCGTGTTCACTGGATTCTCCACCACGACCCCCCAAATCTTTGTCAGAGTCACTGCTTCCCTGGGTAGAGTTCCCCATTCTGTAAGTGTGGCCTGCATTCTTTGTCCTGAGATGGATACATTTGCATTTAGCTGTATTAAAACACACATTGTTTGCTTGTACCCCGTTTACCAAATGATCACATTGCTTTGAATCAGGGACCTGACTGTCTCTTGATTTTTAGTAACCTCTGTAAACGTTATCAGTGATGATTTTTTGTTTTCTTCCAGGCTGTAGATAAAAATGTTAAATAATGTAGGGCCAAGAACTGATCCCTGAGGGACCCCACTGGAAAAGACCCACTCTGTGACTATTCCCCATTTGCAGTTACATTTTGAGACCTATTAGCTAGCCAATTTTTAATCCATTTAACTTGTGCCATGTTAATTGTGTATCATTCTATTTTTTTAATCAAAATGTCATGCAGCACCAATTCAAATGCCTTAGAGAAGTCTAAGTATATTTCGTCAACACTATTACCTTTATCAGCCAAATTTATAATCTCATCAAAAAAAATATCAAGTTAGTTTGACAGGATCTAGTGTATGTAAACTCACGTTAATTGGCATTAATTAATCCTCCTCCTTTAATTCTTTATTAATTGAGTCTAGTATCAGCCGCTCCATTATCTTGCCCGGGAGCAATGTCAGGCTGACAGACCTATAATTGCCCAGGTCATCCCATTTACCCTTTTTAAATATTGGCACACCATGAGCTTTCTTGCAGTCTCCTGGAACTTCCCCAGTGATCCAAGACTTATTGAAAATCAGCATTAACGGTCCAGCAAGCTCCTCAGCCAGCTCTTTCCAAACTATCTAAAATATTGGAGACGTGCTAGGAATATCTGCATTGCAATTGTCCCTCCGAACTGGCAGCACGTTGTATGATCACGTGCCCGTTGTGAGACGACTTTGCTCACAAGTGGTTCCTCTGCAGGGTGGTGACAGAACTGTCCCTTCAGGCTAGAGGTAGGTGTCTCCTAGGCCCAGGGCAGAGTAGTAAGTGCAGAAGGCTCACACAGATGCTACCCCTGCTGCACCAGCTCTCTGATTAGAGTGGCCTTCACACCGCACCATTGTTAATCCTGCGCTTTTCCCAACCTCCGAAGTCAGAATTATTTTTTTGTTCTCAAATTGCTGCCCTTCTTCAGTTAGAGCAGGCTCAGCCCAAGCATTCCAGGCCTCTTGTGCGTTAGCTGTGAAAACATTATACCTCTCAGCTGCTTCATCTTTAATGTGCATGTGGCTGGCTTTTATTCTCTCTCCCAAGTGACCAGGACAGCAGAATTATTGTTTCAGTAAGAATAATAGTGCCCTCTCTGCAGTGAGTCAGCCAGGCAGTTCATGGCATTAGCGGGAATTTCTTATTACTGTTCACACAGAAGGGAAGCCTGCACAACCATGGGCACTAAGACAGGGAGTTACAAACAGCTGCCAGTAAATGGATCCCTGCAGCAAATGTCATGTCACCCACTAAAGGACATGACAAATTTTCCTTCACTAGAAGAGGGTATTAAAATGAAAGGGTACTGTGCCCTTTGCAGACATCCAGTATATGTCCACATTCTACAAAGCATTCATTGCTTGTAGCAGGCAGTCTGGACAGCGGCAAGTTTCAGAGGGTTACGGGAAACATGGGGAGTAGCCTTTATTGATTTTTAATTGTGTGTGTGTGTGAGACTCTTGTGCTGGTGAATGGTGTCAGACTGTCCTGGGAGATCCTGCCCAAGCAGTGTTCATGCCTGTCCTGGAGGGGTTGCTTCAATGGTGAGGTAACTTTCCCCGGTGCAATCTGACCCCCGGCCACTTTTATTTTTATGAAAAAATCCCAATGACTGTACAGTTTCTTAATGTATGACGGTGCCGTAAACTATGGGTATAATGTGAACGCTGTTGAATTTGATAATGACATAACATAGTCCTATTGTAGTGTCCTTCATTGCTTAAATATATGTAGATGATATTCTGAAGCAAACCACTGTTAAATAACAATGTAACATGAAAAGTTCTCCCCCCTCAGGTTCCCTCCACTACACACGTGCACTTCTACACACATGCCCACACCTGCAACTTCTGACTGATTTTGTTGCAATGTTTGCTAAACTGGGAGAACAGCAATACAGATTCATGGCTTGGTAATGTGTGTGTATATATACATACAATATGTGCTTATTGAATTCTGAGTTCATATTGCCGGAACTTTACACACACTAAGAATTTGAGCCTCAGTCTGATTGCTTAGATTTCCTACATTTTTCCCTAAATTATAGAAAGTAAGACTTAATATAAATGTCACCGTGGTTAGTTCTTTAGCAGTTGGTTAATGGTTTATGCTATCAGCTCCACAGTTTCCAGATATTTCTCTCTAGCACTCGCAGCTGGGGTTAACTTGATCGATCTAGGTGCATTAGAGTTACTTTGCAGAATCATTCAGGGAATAAGGATGTGGGCCCCTTTTCTTCGAAAATAGTATTAAATTGCCACAAACTACTGGAAAATCACAGTGAGACTTGGCTCAGTTCCTAAAGATCAGTTTTACTTGCAAGAGTGCTCCAGGTTGAGTGGACAGTTTAGAGGATTGCTAATGGGATTTACAGCCTTTTGTTTCTAAATCGCTGGTTCTAATCCGGCCCAAATCAGTAAGGACCAAAGATTATTAGCTTCTGAGGGCTGCTTGACGTCCTGTGTGAAATGTGTTTGATGGTCATCTTAGTGCAGTTCCCAGGGGACACATTATTAGATACCACCACAATTGGTCTTGGCTGTCAGCCTCAATAGAGAGCACAAAAGACTGAACAGCCCATGGAGACTGAGCTGTCTATTAACCCTCAGATACTGTCCCTCCCCTTTGGTTAATGTTGTCTGTGTTGCATCGGTTCTGCAGAAAAATAGGGGGCTTCACTTCGCAGGGCTGTCAGTCTGGCACTTTTAACTGGACAAACCAGATGAAGTCTGAACCTTTATCACCTCAGGGCCTGCTCGTGGAATGAACCTTTATGGCTAAGCTCGCAAAGTACCTGGTTTATTTTTGGCACTACTGTTGGCTGTTTTCTCGTCTCCGTGTGGCATCTGACTGAAAATGGTGAATTTTGTATACGTGGCCGGCATTTCTTAGTGTTTCTTTCAGCTTTGTTCCTGAGAATGGCAAAACTCAATTCACACAGATGAAGCAATCTGAAACAATGAATGTGAATTGCATCACTTTGTGTGTTGAGGACAGTGTTAAAAATAAAGGCTAAAATCCCTTCACTTTGCAAAGTCCTGTCCTTTGAAGCAGCCTAAATGCTGTCCCTTACAGACAGACCACACACACTCACAGCTTCTCTGAGAGACCCTGAGACTGTTGCCATGGGTTCTAAAGGTCAAAGTTATTAGAGTCAGTTTCTCAGATCTGGCCTCAGTAGAAGTGTTTTATATTGTGTAGACGTGAGATAATGGGACCGTTTCATTTGCCCTCATGTTTCTTTTCCTGCTGCCCTTTTATATTTTTTTAATTTTTCCTCCAAAGCCTCATATTTTCCCCATGCCCTCTCTGATTCCTCATTAACAGTTACTTGCACCATTGTCTGTACTGATCCTTGCTGAAAATTGTGCATTGTTCACCACCTGCAGACTTCCCTGCTGTTAAATGCTGCCCATGCACCTCCAGGGCATTGAAATGAGTCTGTAGGGCTCTCAGGTCCTGTTTTCCACCTCTCTCCTTCGCGTGGATGTGTCTGTAACAGTCAGGATGGGCACATCAGCTGCAAAGTGTTAATCCAGCCACTGGCTCCGCCCATGATAGGAATTTGTGCTTTCCTTGCAAATGAAGATGGAGGTGCAATGCTGTGTCTCGGGGTACCTGGGGTCCTGCATGCTTCCCACGTGTTAGCATTCTCCCTGCAGCACTCCGTCCGCAGCTCTGTATTCCCAAGTGGGAGACCCAATCTGAATAAAATCCAAATCTTTTGGGGCTTTGAAGAAAGCACCGTTAGTACAACTTTCTACTGTCACCTGGGGCTGGTGGCTGTGAAATAGCGTGAGATGAAACCCCATGTGAGGGGGATCTCCCGTCCAAGTGTGGACCAGGCCCAACCCTGTTTAAATCTGCAGTCCCTGCTACGATCACAGCATATGGCAGTAGAGATATAGTCCATACAGATCACCTCATGGCGTGGGGCATATGGCACGTGCACCGTGTATCCTGGTGTTGGTGAGTGTGTTAAAGCGGGACTGGTGACTGTTTTGTCCTGCAGTGCCAACCTACCAAACTGACCTCATTTAACTCTGAGGGCTGAATTTGCAAAGTCTGATGCAACAGGGGTTGTGTACCTGCAAAAAAACACAGACATCTTTGCAGGGAGACGTGTTGTGTGCATCTACAAACATGGACTGCTGCTGCACTTCCTTCTCCTACAGCATCAGAGTGAAGTAAACCAACATTTTATTAGAAACCTCTTCATAATGCAGCCTCTGTACCAAATTACAAAGGGGGTTGCAGAGCAGTCCCCAACGGGCCTGTTATCTCATGCAAAAAAATTCCCAGTGGTTTTGTAGATTGACTTGAAACACATGCACCTAATCAGCTCTCTGCGGAGAACAGATGCGACTGATGTCATTGTGTTCTTCCTCTAGATCCCATCTAATGCCGAGGCTGAAAGAATCACGCTCCCACGAGTCTTTGCTCAGCCCCAGTAGTGCTGTTGAGGCTCTGGATCTCAGTATGGAGGAAGAAGTGGTCATCAAGCCAGTTCACAGTAGCATTCTGGGGCAGGACTATTGTTTTGAGGTAAGAGGTTTTTGTGTCCATCCTACAACATGGTGTTGGAAGGTATCTGTTTGATGAGTAGTGTGGGGGAATCTTCTTGCCTTATAAACATCTCTGGTGTGATCTTTCGTTTATCAGAGCAATGTCTAATGGAGACAGTTGTTTCAATGAGAGTTTGTGTGTGCTCTGTAAAAAAAAATTCTGTTGGGAAAAATATACCAATAAAATGAGAGCTCTGACCCCATTTTACAGTGGTAGCAGGACCTGCTGCTTGGAGAGCTACCCAGCAGTCCTAAACACAGTCCATGCCCTCATAGAACATAGATAAATAATCCATAGTCATATAGACAACATAACCTGCAGTTCTCTATTCTGTGGCTGCATGGGCTTCATACACTGTTGTCCATGGGGATAGAATTCAGGACCTTATTATCCAAAAACATCAGGCTTCTGTTGCTTGAGTAAAAGGGAGATCTCTGTGAGCTGGAGTATTATTGGGTTTTATATCCTAGCAGGCGATAGCTAAGGGTATGTCTACGCTACAAAATTAGGTCGAATTTATAGAAGTCATTTTTTTAGAAATCAGTTTTATATATTCGAGTGTGTGTGTCCCCACAGAAAATGCTCTACGTGCATTAAGTGCATTAACTCGGCGGAGTGCTTCCACAGTACTGAGGCAAGCGTCGACTTCCGGAGTGTTGCACTGTGGGTAGCTATCCCACAGTTCCCGCGGTGTCCGCTGCCCACTGGAATTCTGGGTTGAGATCCCAATGCCTGATGGGGCTAAAACATTGTCGCGGGTGGTTCTGGGTACATATCATCAGGCCCCCCTTCCCTCCCTCCCTCCGTGAAAGCAGCAGCAGACAATTGTTTCGCGCCTTTTTTCTTGAGTTACCTGTGCAGACGCCATACCACGGCAAGCATGGAGCCCACTCAGGTAACCATCACCGTATGTCTCCTGGGTGCTGGCAGACGTGGTACTGCATTGCTACACAGAAGCATCAACCCATTGCCTTGTGGCAGCAGACGGTGCAATAGGACTGGTAGCCGTCATCGTCATGTCTGAGGTGCGGCCAGGAGCGCCTGGGCAGAATTGGGCACAGGGACTAAATCTGGAGTGACTTGACCGGGTCATTATCTTTAGTCCTGCAGTCAGTCCTATTGAACCATCTTATGGTGAGCAGGCAGGCGATACGGATTGCTAGCAGTCCTACTGTACCATCTTCTGCAAGGCAGGCAACAGATGAGGATGGCTAGCAGTTCTACTGCACCATCTTCTGCCGAGCAGCCATGAGATGTGGATGGCTTGCAGTCCTTCTGCACCGTCTGCTGCCAGCCAAAGATGTAAAAGATAGATGGAGTGGATCAAAACAAGAAATAGACCAGATTTGTTTTGTACCCATTTGCTTCCCACCCTCCCCCATCTAGGGGACTCATTCCTCTAGGTCACACTGCAGTCACTCACAGAGAAGGTGAAGCTAGGTAAATCTAGCCATGTATCAATCAGAGGCCAGACCAACCTGCTTGTTCCAATAAGAACAATTACTTAAGTGCACCATTTCTTATTGGAACCCTCTGTGAAGTCCTGCCTGAAATACTCCTTGATGTAAAGCCACCCCCTTTGTTGATTTTAATTCCCTGTAAGCCAACCCTGTTAGCCATGTTGTCAGTCGCCCCTCCCTCCATCAGAGCAACGGCAGACAATCGTTCCGCGCCTTTTTTCTGTGCGGACGCCATACCAAGGCAAGCATGGAGGCCGCTCAGCTCACTTTGGCAATTAGGAGCACATTAAACACCACACGCATTATCCAGCAGTATATGCAGCACCAGAACCTGGCAAAGCGATACCGGGCGAGTAGGCGACGTCAGTGTGGTGACGAGAGTGATGAGGACATGGACACGGACACAGACTTGTCTCAAAGCACAGGACCTGGCAATGTGGGTATCATGGTGCTAATGGGGCAGGTTCATGCGGTGGAACGCCGATTCTGGGCTTGGGAAACAAGCACAGACTGGTGGGACCACATAGTGTTGCAGGTCTGGGATGATTCCCAGTGGCTGCGAAACTTTCGCATGCGTAAGGGCACTTTCATGGAACTTTGTGACTTGCTTTCCCCTACCCTGAAGCGCATGAATACCAGGATGAGAGCAGCCCTCACAGTTGAGAAGCGAGTGGCGATAGCCCTGTGGACGCTTGCAACGCCAGACAGCTACCGGTCAGTTGGGAATCAATTTGGAGTGGGCAAATCTACTGTGGGGGCTGCTGTGATGCAAGTAGCCCACGCAATCAAAGATCTGCTGATATCAAGGGTAGTGACCCTGGGAAATGTGCAGGTCATAGTGGATGGCTTTGCTGCAATGGGATTCCCTAACTGTGGTGGGGCCATAGACGGAACCCATATCCCTATCTTGGCACCGGAGCACCAAGCCGCCGAGTACATAAACCGCAAGGGGTACTTTTCGATAGTGCTGCAAGCACTGGTGGATCACAAGGGACGTTTCACCAACATCAACGTGGGATGGCCGGGCAAGGTACATGACGCTCGCATCTTCAGGAACTCTGGTCTGTTTCAAAAGCTGCAGGAAGGGACTTTATTCCCAGACCAGAAAATAACTGTTGGGGATGTTGAAATGCCTATATGTATCCTTGGGGACCCAGCCTACCCCTTAATGCCCTGGCTCATGAAGCTGTACACAGGCAGCCTGGACAGTAGTCAGGAGCTGTTCAACTACAGGCTGAGCAAGTGCAGAATGGTGGTAGAATGTGCATTTGGACGTTTAAAGGTGCGCTGGCGCAGTTTACTGACTCGCTTAGACCTCAGCGAAACCAATATTCCCACTGTTATTACTGCTTGCTGTGCGCTCCACAATATCTGTGAGAGTAAGGGGGAGACGTTTATGGCGGGGTGTGAGGTTGAGGCAAATCGCCTGGCTGCTGGTTACGCGCAGCCAGACACCAGGGTGGTTAGAAGAACACAGGAGGGCGCGGTACACATCAGAGAAGCTTTGAAAACCAGTTTCATGACTGGCCAGGCTACGGTGTGAAAGTTCTGTTTGTTTCTCCTTGATGAAACCCCCCAGCCCTTGGTTCACTCTACTTCCCTGTAAGCTAACCACGCTCCCCTCCTCCCTTCGATCATCGCTTGCAGAGGCAATGAAGTCATTGTTGCTTCACATTCATGCATTCTTTATTCATTCATCACACAAATAGGGGGATGACTACCAAGGTAGCCCAGGAGGGGTGGTGGAGGAGGGAAGGAAAATGCCACACAGCACTTTGAAAGTTTACAACTTTAAAATTTATTGAATGCCAGCATTCTGTTTTTTGGGCAATCCTCTGTGGTGGAGTGGCTGGTTGGCCGAAGGCCCCCCACCACGTTCTTGGGCGTCTGGGTGTGGAGGCTATGGAACTTGGGGGGGAGGGTGGTTGGTTACACAGGGGCTGTAGTGACAGTCTGTGCTCCAGCTGCCTTTGCTGCAGCTCAACCATACACTGGAGCATACTGGTTTGATCCTCCAGCAGCCTCAGCATTGAATCCTGCCTCCTCTCATCACGCTGCCGCCACATTTGAGCTTCAGCCCACTACTTACTCTCTTCAGCCCGCCACTTACTCTCTTCAGCCTGCCACCTCTCCTCCCGGTCATTTTGTGCTTTCCTGCACTCTGACATTATTTGCCTCCACGCATTCGTCTGTGCTCTGTCAGTGTGGGAGGACAGCATGAGCTCAGAGAACATTTCATCACGAGTGCGTTTTTTTTTCTTTCTAATCTTCACTAGCCTCTGGGAAGGAGAAGATCCTGTGATCATTGAAACACATGCAGCTGGTGGAGGAAAAAAAAGGGACAGCGGTATTTAAAAAGACACATTTTATAAAACAGTGGCTACACTCCTTTCAGGGTAAACCTTGCTGTTAACATTACATACATAGCACATGTGCTTTCGTTACGAGGTCACATTTTGCCTCCCCCCTCCCCATGGCTACCCCCTCAACGCTCCCCCCTCCCCGTGGCTAACAGCGGGGAACATTTCTGTTCAGCCACAGGCAAACAGCCCAGCAGGAACGGGCACCTCTGAGTGTCCCCTGAAGAAAAGCACCCTATTTCAAGCAGGTGACTATGAATGATATCTCACTCTCCTGAGGATAACACAGAGAGATAAAGAACGGATGTTGTTTGAACGCCAGCAAACATACACTGCAATGCTTTGTTGTACAATGATTGCCGAGTACGTGTTACTGGCCTGGAGTGGTAAAGTGTCCTACCATGGTGGATGGAATAAGGCTGCCCTCCCCAGAAACCTTTTGCAAAGGCTTTTGCAAAGTACATCCAGGAGAGCCGCAAATGCCAGGGCAAATTAATCCTTTCACATGCTTGCTTTTAAACCATGTATAGTATTTTAAAAGGTACACTCACCGGAGGTCCCTTCTCCGCCTGCCGGGTCCAGGAGGCAGCCTTGGGTGGGTTCGGGGGGTACTGGCTCCAGGTCCAGGATCAGAAACAGTTCCTGGCTGTCGGGAAAACCGGTTTCTCCGCTTGCTTGCTGTGAGCTATCTACAACCTCATCATCATCATCTTCTTCTTTGTCCCCAAAACCTGCTTCCATGTTGCCTCCATCTCCATTGAAGGAGTCAAACAACATGGCTGGAGTAGTGGTGGCTGAACCCCCTAAAATGGCATGCAGCTCATCAGAGAAGCGGCATGTTTGGGGCTCTGACCCGGAGTGGCCGTTCGCCTCTCTAGTTTTCTGGTAGGCTTGCCTCAGCTCCTTCAGTTTCACGCGGCACTGCTTCGGGTCCCTGTTATGGCCTCTGTCCTTCATGTCCTGGGAGATTTTGACAAAGGTTTTGGCATTTCGAAAACTGGAACGGAGTTCTGATAGCACGGATTCCTCTCCCCATACAGCGATCAGATCCTGTACCTCCCCTTCATTCCATGCTGGAGCTCTTTTGCGATTCTGGGACTCCATCATGGTCACCTCTGCTGATGAGCTCTGCATGGTCACCTCTGCTGATGAGCTCTGC